TCTTTCTCTTGCTCTTGCTCTTGCTCCTGAATCCCTCTATCCATTGAAGGGCGGGGATGTTTCGGGGCTGTTGAATCACAGGGGCAAGTGATTACCATAGATACCTTTTCTTCCAAGCCTCCCCGCAGGTGGAGCCTGAAGCAGCGACCTACCCTTTGGGGAGGTTGAACTGTGATCCTCCCTTCGCTTTGCTCCGATCTGTGCTCGAGCACATGGCGCACGTTGCTGAGACGGAGAAGCCTGACTTCGTGATGTTCACAGGGGACATCCCGAGCCATCAGCTGTCATGTCAGTTCCATCAAGCACGTACAATCGAGATGGTCATAGAGATGATGGCGGAGAAGTTGAAGAAAGTGGCACCTACATGGTTTCCAGCCATGGGTAACAATGACTATTTCCCAAACTACAACGTTTCTATGGAGCCAAACAGCCCCTGGCAGCAGTTCGTGGCCTCCATCTACGCACGCGAAGGAGTGCTCAGCGGTGAGCAGCTGAAGACCTTTGCAGCGGGAGGCTACTACTCCGCCTCCCCTCGCCCCGGACTGAAGGTGATTGTGCTCAACACAGTGGTTTGGAGCCAGAAGGTTCTGGATTGGAATGCTGCTCCGAAGAAGCATGTGCATCATCATCAGGACGGAACCTTGAACCCGAAACCCAAACGCCTGAATCCTAATTGCTGGGCCCTGAACCCAAACCCCAAATCCGGCATGCATGCATGCATGCATGCATGCATGCATCATCATCATCCCTAAGCCCTAAACCCTAAACCCTCAACCCTAAACCCTAAACCCTAAACCCATCAGGACGTCTCTGAGGCGAACCTCTACCATGGCCCGGATGCTCCCCTTGACGGTTCGGACACCAGCGGCTGGGTATGGGATGAGGACGTGGCGAGCAAGAAGCTCCCCCGCCCGCGTTAATACTTGGAGGATCATGGGACTTAGTAAGTAGGGTTATAATTAAGGCAAGTATACTTATAACCCCAATTAAGGGACTTATAACCTTACTTACTAAGTCCCACACTGTTAAACAACTCCCAGAGCCGTAGTCAGGATTTAGGGTTCAGGGTTCCGGCTTCAGGAACGAGGGTTTAGGGTTTAGGTCACCCCTGAACCCCTAAACCCCAAACCCCAAACACCCTAAACCCTAAACCCTAAACCCACACTGTGAAGCCCAAGCGGCCTAAGCGCACCGAGGATCTTCGTTGATTGCGACGCGCGTCCCGCTGACCCGTACGGGCAGCTTGCCTGGGCGCGACAGGACTTGAGTTCAGGGTTCATAGAGGGGCCTTAATTATACTATTTTTGGGGCTCCTTATTACAATTATAGTATAGCATACCCCAAAACCTTATTCTTCAGGGTTAGTATAGGGGCCTTACTATTTTGGGGGCTCCTTAATAAAAGTATAGTAGAGTATACCCAAACCCTATTCTAATTATTAAGGCCCCTACATGAGGACTTGCAGGTTCAGGCTTTACAGTTTAGGGTTGAGGGTTCAAGAACGGTTTGGGGTTTAGGGTCCTAAAAGGGTTTTCTTGGGTTCCAAGACAGTTCTATAGAGGTTCTACAAGCCTTCCTGTGGTGTTCGGGCGTAGGGTGTAGGGCTTGGGGTTCAGGGCTCAGGGTAGAGAGTTTCGGGTTTGAGGCTCAGGGTTTTTAATTCTCCCTTGCCCATGAACCACAGGAGTTGTCGGGTTGAGTTTCATCGTCAAGTTTGCTCATGAGATTTGTCTAGAGTCTATAGCTGCTGCCGTGTTGAAGTACTTGAAGGATCATGGGACTTAGTAAGTAAGGTTATAAGTCCCTTAATTGGGGTTATAAGTATAGTTACCCTAATTATAACCCTACTTACTAAGCCCCATGATCCTGTAAGTACCCTAAACCCTAAACCCTAAACCCTAAACCCTAAACCCTAAACCCTAAACCCTAAACCCTAAACCCTACTTACTGAGCCCCAAGATCCTTTAAATATCAGCATCAGCTCCTGTGGCGAGAGCCTGAAAACCTCAACACTCTGAACTCCTGAGTACGTACTTAAAGGATCACGGGACTTAGTAGGTAGGGTTATAATTAGGGTAACTATACTTATAACCCCAATTAAGGGACTTATAACCCTACTTGCTAAGTCCCATGATCCTCCGAGTAAGCATGTAGACACACGTGGCACTTGGGTATGCGTAACCCCCAAGCCTCAAAACCCAAACCCGAAGCCCCAAATCCGAAACCCAAGACCCGAAACCCTAAACCCTAAACCCTAAACCCTAAACCCCTAAATTCTAAACCCTAAACCCCAAAACCCCCAAACCCCCAAACTCATTAAACCCCTAAACCCTTTCAGGAGCTCCTAGAAGCGCGTAGCTCGGGACAGCGCGTCATCGTCGCAGGGCACGTGCCGCCCGGGAACAAGGCCACGGGCGGGGGCTTGGGGGTTTAGGGTTTAG